CCGGGGGCGGGGCCTCTACAGCCTGTGTGAGTGGTGGTGGTGGTGTTGTGTTGTTGTTGTTGTTGTTATTGTTGTTGTTGTTGTTGCTATTGTTGTTGTTGTTGGTGGTGGTGGTGGAGGTGTTGTTGTTGTTGTTGTTGTTGTTGGTTTTGTTGTTGTTGTTGTTGTTTGTGATGGTGGAGGTGTTGTTGTTGTATTGTTGTTGTTGTTGATGGTGTTGTTGTTGTTGTTGTTGTTGTTTGTTTTGTTGTTGTTGATGGTGGTGGTGGTGGTGGAGGTGTGAGTCGGCGGTACAGATAGACACAACTACTGAACAACTGTTCTTCTTCCGGGGATGGGGCCTCTACAGCCTGTGTGAGTGGTAGTGGTTGTTGTAGTTGTTGTTGGTGGTGGTGTTGTTGTTGTTGTTGGTGGTGGTGGTGGTGGTACAGATAGACACAGCTACTGGTCAACTGTCACTGGTCCCGGGGTGGGGCCGCTACAGCCTGTGTGAGTGGTGGTGGTGGCTGTAGTTGTTGTTGTTGTTGGTGGGGATGTTGCTGCTGGAGGTGATGTTAGTGTTGGTGGCTGCGATGATGTTTTTGGTGATTTTTTGAAAGATGTTTTTTGGGATGTTTTTCCACCCCCACCCCTTACTCTACCCCTCCAAACCCTACTCACCCACAACCCCCAACCCACCACCCACCCCACCGTTTACAATCCTTTTCCCAACACTACCCGTCCACACACCCCCTCCCAACCTCACCACCCCTCCATATCTCTCACTCCATCCCCCCCCCCCAAACCCACCCTTTAATATCCTCCTCCAAACCCCACCCTCCCACAACCCCTCCTCTACCTCCACACCCCTGATCACCCTCCAACCACAACCCCACCACCGTTATGCCGTCCCCAGGTTTGAAGTGACCATCGGCGCGTCAGATGACGGGGTCAAGTATGACACCCTGGTGCTGACCGTGCGCGCCGAGCCGGCCTGGGATGACGGAATGGTCAACAAGTTCCTGGTGCAGATGGACAACGGTTATGCGGACCACCGAGATAACAGCTACATGGACATACAGCACTTGGCTCAACAGGGGGAGGGGCCGCTCAGTCGTCATAAGAGATCAGTGAGTTGTCGCAAGAGATCTATTTTCGTTTTAGTAAGGTTATTACGGCGCTCACAACTGCTTACAGTCAAATATGAGCGCCAAGGGGTGGATGCCAACAGAGAAGTCCAAACGGGGAATCAGGCTTACTCTGCTCATCTCTCTAGCCTCAACAGCACAAAGTTGTCTGCTTCGACTATCAAGGCACCCCGAAAATAGCAGTTCACAAGAGAGTGACAAACATACAATAGAAGTAGAGGAAAAAATGACAATAGTAAGGACGAAGAAAGAAAATTTAGCAGTTTCCCCCTTTATCGTTCCGGCACAGTATGTGCATGACATTGATAAATCAGCCCATTTACAATTCTACTGTGCAGGAGAGTATGTTACTATCCCCCCTTTGGGAATGGCCTAAAGACACTTCAGTCAGTGGCACTATCCTGGGGGTGGGAGTTGGGGAGAGTTTGGGAGTTCTGTTGTCTTTTAATAAAAGACCTTGTTTCAAGTTCTGTAATCCTAAAATAAAGGACCTTGTTTCAAATTCTGTCGTCTTAAAATAAAGGACCTTGTTTCAAGTTCTGTCGTCTTAAAATAAAGGACTTTGTTTCAAGTTCTGTTCTTTTCTAGTAAAAGACCATGTTTCAAGATCTGTTGTCTCCTAATAAACGACTTTGTTACAAGGTACTGATTTTTTTCCAATAAAGGAACTTGTTTCAAGCTCTGTTTTTTTTTCTAATAAAGGACCACGTTTCAAGTTCTGTTCAGCTAAAATAAAGGACCTAGTTCCAAATTCTGTTGACCTAAAATAAAGAACCTTTTTTCTGTTGCTTTTACCCCCCAGATCACCCTGCCGTCCAACGTGACCTTTGATCTGGTCAAGGAAGGTGTTTTCCAGTCTCAGGACACCGTGGGGGTGGGGCACCGGATCCAGTTCAAACTGGACATTCTCTTTCCGGCCGGAGACACGGATATACAGGTCAGTACACATACACACACACGCACACACACACACACACACACACACACACACA